GAAAACTTTGTATTGTGCTAGGTTGTTGATCATGTCATCGATCCGAAGAAGAGGATACGCATCAAGCTCTGTATATTGATTGATGGTTTGAGAGTAATCAATACAGAGCCTCTTCTTGTGCCGGTTTGAGGGATCTTTAGAAACAACAATTTGTGCTCTCCATGGTGTTATGGTAGGCTCAATAATTCCTTCAGACAGGAGTTTTGTAACTTCCTGATTGATAAACTCCTGGTCTTCTTTGCTAAAGCGCCTAGATCTACTGGCGATAGGCTTACATTCAGGGAGAAGGTTTCCAAACAATGAAGGCTCCTCGATGGAGGCTGTCGAAGAAAGAGGACAGGCAGGCCTAGGAATTACTAGTTCTGGTCTAGTACCGCCAAACTCTATGGTGACCCGCTTGTGCTTCTTCTGGAAGTCCCCAAGGAGAATGTCACTACAGAGATTTTTCAAGACTCCCAAACGAATGGATGAGTCGGAAAGTTGATTAATTACAATATCCGTAAAACAGTGACCAAGGATCTGAGTCTTAAAAGATGTTAAGACCATAGATATCTTCTGTGTTGATGGATGAAGCTTGAGAGACAGTTTCCTTGCCATAGTTTCACTTATAAAACGTTCCGAACTCCCAGAGTCAATGAGTGCGGTCAGTTCAATACCGCCAATAGAGACTTTTACAGATGCTTGTTTTAGACTTTCTGGACAACTTGCAACAATTGAACAAAGAGTAGGCGTGAACATAGAAGCAGTGGTGATTGAAGGCGCCTTTGACTTGCAAGCTTTGGCATAATGTCCTTTCTTTCCATAGTTGTTACAATTAGAATTCCGGGCAGGACAACTTCTTCTGTTGTGGAGATTATCACCACAAAAGTAGCATTTCTTTGATGTGAATGTAGCTGCTAGAGAATCATAATCTAAGGCATGAGCTCCAGCAACCTCATCTGTCGGAGGGGAGGAGACTGCTGCAGTTGTAGGTATTTCAGGCATCCTATATGCTTCAGAATTCTTTTGAGCCAAGTCTAAGGCATTTGCTTGGTCAAAAGCAGTTTGAAGGTCGAGCTGTTTATTTTCTAGGAGCCGTTGGCGAATCAAAGGTGATAAGAGGCCATTAATAAAGGAATCACGAACCAATTCCTCACGATACTGTTCAGCAGTTACGTTCTTAAGGTTACAATCTTTGCTGAGTTTTCGAAGTTCTTGGAGAAATTCAGTAAGAGTCTCGCCGGATTTCTGCCGTCTTGTTGCCAGCAAATGTCTAGCAAATATTTCATTTGGTGTCTTGACAAATGGTTGTTCTAGTACGCGAATGGCCGATTTATAGTCCTTGCAGTCTTCGATATATTCATAAACGTTATGAGACACATAATTTACAAGAGTTCTATATTCATCAGGAGCCTTTTCGCCACATTCATCAATAAAATTAGTAAAGGTACGGTGCCAATGCCTCCATTCTTTCGTTGCTGTGGGCGAATTTGGATCTAAGTCGAGTCGTGCTGGTTTGAGTAGCGTATCCATGTTTTCGTTGTCCAAACTGATTTTCGCGATTCTATTTTGGGTTTACTTTAAGTAGGATAAATTGTCGTAATCATAAAGTAATAATAGAAATGAAAAACCATACTAATTGCATGGCTTTATCCTACTTAAAGCCAGCTATAAACTTAATTCGTTTTACAATGTACAAAATGGCCGACACTAAAATGACCAATGACTAACGCGGGCTCAGGTGCCACAGCAACCCAATCCGGTAACTAGTAAATATAAAGTTTATGTCAGAGGTAACATGGCATTTTTTAACCATATAACTACTGGGGCATTTATCCCAGTAGGCCGTTTGCTTGCCCCAGTAGTGAAGCTATATTTTCAGATGGGCTGGGCCCTTTTGATCATCAGTAAAAATTCATCCATATTGAAAAAGCTGCATCTGCCTGCTTTCTGACATCCTCACTCTCGACATTCCATGTTATAAAAGTCTGCACAGCATGGCCTTTATGTACACGTAACTGTGTTGGGAAAAGGCCCTCATTGAGACTTAGCCCCAGTAGTTGTAATTTCTTAAAAAATGCCCTGGGAGGTAAAGACCTTGGCTTGCGAGCTTGGAACATTAATATTGGATTGAATGCATTAGGACGGCTGTCGCCATCGCTCGCCATCTATAACAGCTGGATTCACTTCCGGTTGGCGCCCCTGTTAACAAAAACGTCGCTTGCTCGCTCTAACACTTTCAAACGTGGGCATGCATGCAAATAGAAACATCGATTTTATCTTTCAAAAGTTTCTGCGACAATGTTCTCTAATTATTTGAGCTGGGCAAATCCTCGTAAGTTAATACCCGACTCTTTTTCCTCCGTTGCCGTTGCGAGCAGTGCCTCATTTGCGAGGTCGGAGTAGCCGAAGATCTTCCACATCTCATCATGTACGTGATCCAGTATATTCATAATGACAAATTATTTTGCAAGTACAGTTAAAGTGACAAATTTACAAATTTTCCATATCTAATAATAGAAAATGCAAATAAGATTTAGTTACTATTAAAACGAGCAGTTGTTTCCCACGTTCACTGCCATTCACTGCATGATGGCATAATTGACAACCAGGATACTCGCCTATATAACTTTAAAATCAAAGACAAACAAATCAATGCAGACACAAATAATTTATGTAAGTAATCGATCTGTTCTTGTTAATTCTGTTTGTGTTAAATCTTCTGCGCACCTGTTGCACCTATAGTCTGCACCCGCATTGCACCAAGAAAACTGTGTAACAGGCAAATGGTGCACTTGCACCCGTTGCACTCGTGGTTCCGGCATCTCTAGCATCAGGGCATATCGGTATATATACCCATGGATCATTACGCGCCTTTTCGGGACCAACGTACGTCGAGGAACTGTGGATCGAAGTCGTAGATGAGTCAGGGAACTGAGTGTTGCCTCCGCTGCGATTCGTATATTATTTGCCCTGATGAAGATTCGGGGCCACAAACCGACAGCTTTCGCTAAATAAATTAACGTGATGACTTCCAGAAAACATTATTAATTATTAAACGATTCAATTACAGTACCACTCCTTCTGCTTCATCTTTCATCATACTTGTAATTCATCTTTCCAAATTATACCCTCAAAATTACATTAGTTTACAATTTTGTTATTGTAGATTGTTACTCCATCGATTTTATTGTTGCTCCGTTCCACTCTGGCCACATTTTGCATCGTCATAGCAATCACAAGTGGCGTACGAAAGTCAGATCCAAGATGGTTCATTTATCTCACAAACTGGGGTTTCCTGTTACTCACTATGGCTATGATAGGACTTGCGCTAATTAGCATAATCCACGCGTTTTCGAAAACTGATTTGAGAAAGACTTCGCTTGAGATGCGCAGCCGTGGTGAAATGATTGATGCTGAAAGTACCTCACAAACGCAAAGTAACGAAAATCAAATCGAGCCCAAGTCTTTAGCCTGGTACGAAAAAGGCAAGAAAGGACAATTTGTTTATAGTCTGACATAAATATCTGTAGCATATAAACTGCTTTGGAAATACTGAAAGGCAAAAGCCGATAATACTCCAGGGGATGAAATGATCATCATCGTTGATAAATTTATAAAATGTTATCGATCTTTGGAATTACACTTGTTTTGTATTTTGTTAAAATACTCAGTGGTTTGAAACATTTTCTGTTCTTAAAAAGTAGTTAAAAGTTTTATACCTGCATATAACCAGCTCCAGCAGTGCCGCCGCCTGCCCTCTCTCCCCGCCCCCATTGTTTTCACTGTGCAGTTTTAGATTCGTTCAATTCCAGAGTTGAACGCAATGGGTTCACACTGCGAAAATTATTCTCCGATTATTACATTCTCCAAGTGCTCCCACAAAGCACGAAATTCCGTTTCAGATACCCCCTAGAATTGTGACATTACAGATTATTAGTTCCTCCCCCCCCCGAAATAAAATCCGGGCGGCGCCACTGGGCCTCATGTTTCTTGAATTTTCATGTTGTTGCATTACATTATATCGGACGGTGTGCATACGGCACACACATACATATCGCGTATAAGAGGCCTCCAAAGAGCTAATATGCTCATGTAGTTTACTAAGAACGTTTTCACGTACAGTTTTGATTCGATAGTTTCATCCCATATACATTCCAGACTGTAATTACTTTGAAATGAGTGTACATCCACTTGATGGATAATATGCATTTTCTGTTGCTAGGCGTATGGTTTCTGTGGATTATCGCATCAAATGGTGCATTGGTGGTTTCCTTAAATTACTGGGTACTAGTCTTTGAACCTCCCACAAACTTCATGGACATCGCAGTTCATGCACTCAATTCAACTGTCATGTTTGTGGAGTTCTTCACGGCATCCATACCGGTCCGTATTCTACATGTTCTGTATGTAATGTTATTCGCAGTCGTCTATAGTCTATTCACTGTTATATTCTGGGCTGCTGGAGGAGTGACTGTTGATGGTGATCCATATATATACAAGGTTTTAGACTATGAGAATGGTGATCCCGCTCAGGTCTCTGCTGTGGTGCTTGGTATCGTCTTTGTCGCCTCACCCATTCTACAGTTTATTCTGTTTGCTCTATACCAATTGAGATGTTTCTTGCATAAGAAGAGGGGAAACTTGAGTGTTAACGTTACTGTGACTAACCAATGATGCTCATGCGAGAGCCTTTATATCATCTTTGTCATCTTACCCATCTTATGGTATCAATGAGATGGAGAAGATACTTCGATGTTACTGTATAGAATAAAACTACTGTATTGTTTAGATTAGATTTATTTACAAAAACTGCTTATATATATTCGCTTATACAACCGAAATTCAAGGACTCTTCTCTATCACAACGTTAGTCCAGATCTCGTTCAGATCTGCAGAAGAAATCTGTCGCCTCGAAAACTAAAAGGCAGGTACTTTCATTTGAAAAAAGACTTATGTCTGAACGAAGTTTCTGACCTCAACTTAATTTTCGAATTTGCAATAATGAAAACTAATTAATTTCACTTCATGTCTCTATTAATAAAAGCTCTTTCATTTAAATTGCTAATGAAAATTTGAATTTTTGGAAAAAATTGAGTGTCGTGAGTGAAGTCGCATAGACAATGTTTTCATCAGTTACTCTTCTTTTTTGCACGCAAACGACAAGGGGAAGGGGCGGAGGAGGGGTGGGGGGCTCAATCCCATCTTTCTGGAACAAATTAAATTCTGTCTACACCGGTCTCGATCCCTGTTGGCCTGTTTCTCAACCTTCGATACCAAATCGCAATCCGTTCTCAGCAGCAAATTTGTTGGTCCTTATCCATTTCCCCCATTGAAACAATACCGATCTGTCGCGTCGTAGGTTCTCATCTGTGGAATATCCTATGTTTCTCTCGCTTTACAAATTGAGCGCGAGGGGAGTGATACGCAGTCTATGGGCACAGAGGTCTCACTTCTGCGGGAAAACCGTAAGGTGATTTTTACCAAAATAGCTGGCGTCCATGTTCTTAGCAAGTGCCCGGAAGAGAGGCATTCACCCCCTGAAATATTAAATTTCAATATGCTTTCAGGGGGGTGACGGCCTCTCTTAAGGGCACTTGCTAAGAACATGGCGGATTGAAAAAATCCATTACGCTATGCCTTTCTCACGCCTCCATTTTTGGGTGGCATTTCAGTGGAAATCTGCGAGATAAGTCCACATAACAGCGACTTTTTATAATTTTTTGGACAAATTATGGTAAATTTGCTTTGTAAATGGCTAGCTTATTTTGAAAAATTGTTTTTCACATTGTTTTAATTGTCTGCATTGGTTAATAAGAATTGGATGCCACCCGAAAATGGCGAATATTCGTCATCGTGAGAAAGGCTAATTAACCTGAAGTGACATCTCTGTATCTAAGTATTCTGTGCTCCGGGAGTGATTTGTAGCCTACACGCAGATTGTCATTTCCATTTTATCTTAACCAATCAGATGCGTGCTAATTATAAACCAGCGAGAGGTACCGGTGAGTCAAATCTGAACCTTTTAATTACCTCATTCCACCAACCTCTTTTCGTAACTCGCCCGCGGCCTTTTAGGTGTTCCACGGAGGGCGGAATGTCTCTACTCTACTACACTCTCCTCCATAGAGCGAATTTTTAGTCAAATTACTTATTGATACTAAAACGCGCAGGGTAAGATCAATGGTATGATGGGCAACCCCAATGGGCAACCTTCGTCTCACACACCCCGTCGTGCACCACTGAGTGTCCTCTACTATCCCTACGGCCTACGCCATCACTACAATTCTCTACTATCTAGGCGTGGAAAAAGTATCGGAACCTGGGAACCTAGTTCCCAGAAATTTTTTTGAGTTAAGAGTTTTGCAGAAAATTTTCCAGAAAATATTTCAACATTTTGAGATAACTCTGTTTACTCAACTTACAAGTTACAACTATTCTACTTTACACTGTACACGGTAACATCAACAGCTTGCAGTATATTTGCCAGAAATTAATTCTTTTACCCACACCTGCCATCACAATTAGGTAAAATGGTAAATATATGCTCTGCAAAGTCTCCAATAAAATGCAAATTAAATAGTAAACAAATAAAAGTGATGGAATAAATAAGATGATAGGACACCTAGTTAAGCGTTAGATCCTTACTAATTGGTCGTAACTGTGGTACATAACAGACAACTATTGCGATGTACGAGCATATGAAAACAACAGCCTAAAGCCTATTATTACTAAAGTACAAATGATACAATAATTATGCATTTGTTTTGTTATTTTTGTAATTGTAACATTGCAAATTTTACAGAAAATTTCTAACCTTCGACCCAGGTTCCCAGAAAGAAAAATTTTTTTCCACCCCTGCTACTATCCTTACGTTACCACTATGGATATATTTTAATTTTAAATTTAGACTCTACGGAGGAGATAGGGAAATTGCGTCTGCACCACAGGCTGCGGAGGAGAGTGACTCTTACCAAAGAACCAGAGCCACAGAACGTTATGCTGCATGCGGCAAATGCTTCTGATCAATAGACTTTTCCGGTAATTACGTCGCAACTACACTGTTTTCAACTTAGGACTACCTTAAATGGAATATTTGAATTTGAATTTTGACTATTAAATGTGGAAATAAGCTTAAAAACGAAAACGAGGCTGAGGGGCCATAGCCCCTCTTGGCCTCGTTTTCGTGTTTAAGCTTATTTCCACATTTATTGGTCAAAATCAAAAATTCTTTTTTATGCATGTGTTGAAGAAGGATATTCTGCTCCTCTGACCATTGCCCGTGAGAAACAAACTTAAAATCCATTCCATTTAAGGTGGTCCTAAGTTGAAAACAGTGTTAGTCGTGACGTAATTACCGAAAAGGCCTAATCGGCAAAACTTGTGGTCGTATGAATGATATTAAAAAATTTCTTTATACGATACAGTTTCATTGCAAACTCTGTAACCTTCGCTGTTTTGTTCGGTCTTGGTGACTTTATTGAACAGCAAAGAGAGCGGTACAATATTAAACACAATAAAAAATGCAATTTAAAAATGAAGCCTTACAATTTTCGACGGACATTGGATATGGTGATTGTTGGTGGTTTATTAAGTCCAGTAGTTCATTATTGGTACGTTGCCTTGGACAAAGTGATAGTCGGTAACATTCATTCAATGGTACTTAAAAAAGTGCTTGCTGATGAAATAATTATGTCTCCAATCTTTGGTATTGCTTTCCTAGGTGGTAAGTGTGTTTACTTGTTCACTTGAGGATAGCTGGGTCCTCTTTCCTCTCCAGAGCCACCTTAATTATTAGTTTATTAGCGAGCTTAAGCAAGCAACGTTTTTTGTCGACACGGACGTCAGATTGCCGAGCGAGGCACTGAGGACTGGGATTAACTTGGGATGCACACATCGATTCGATATGTTGTAAAGTCAGTGCTGGAATTGGGACTATGAAACGTATAAAGCCCTATGTCCCACCTGCAACTCTGCAAACAAATTATTGTTCCCTTCTGTGGGATACCTGCGGAAAAACACTTCAAGATAAACTACAAAAATTTCAATCCCGTGTAGCTAGAGTGATTACTGGAGCTAGTTATGATGTTAGGTCTACTGATGTTTTAGATGCTCTCGGTTGGCAAACACTTGATGTGAAACGTTTAGAAAATAAATTAATGATGTACAAAATATTTAATAACCACACTACCCCTAATCTAAACGAGTTTTTCTGCAAAAGAAACACAATTCAGTCTAATTATGATTTGCGTAGTGGCGATACAGACCTATGCTTACCTCAGCACCCACTATAGTGGTGCCTTGCAATGGAATCGTCTTTCTGAGGATTCAAAAAATTCTGAAACCCTTTCTTCTTTTAAAAGAAAAATACGTCAGGCATGAACACCTCTTTGGATCGCACCAATTGTCACGTTTTTATATAATTCCTTTTCTATTATTCTTTGCTTCCTTGTTTTTCTATATAGTTTAACTTGTATATAGTTTAATGTGTACATTCTTTAATTTGTAAATAGTTATTGTGGGACGCCCCCTGCATGAAAAGCAGCTCACGTTGATCGAGGCTAGCGTGTTTAAATAAAGTTTTACCATACCATACCATACCATACCATACCAGTTAGTTTGTGGTACCGTAATCTAATTCAATCAGTGGCCTGACTGGAACGTTTGGAAATTGCATGCCCGAGATTTTGAAAATTTAACAGTAAATATATAGAAAGAATCAAAATTGCGCGCCAGAGATATCCGCCCCGCAATACAAACTTTCCGCACTGGACCAGTGGCGTAACGCAACCTCCTGAGGCCTCCTGTCAAATGTTTAAGTGTGGCCCTATTTTAAGTTAGCGAGCGGGTGGAGGGAGAAAAAATGTTTCTGCCAACCTGCTAGGGAGTGTGCTCCCCGAGTGCCCGAAAATGTTTTTGATTATTTTTAAGCTGGATTTCTACTTGCAAGGAAAATTTCGCTGTCGAAATTTTTCGTTCAATTGCTTTTCAATTGTGAGCAGCCGAGTAGAATTTATTTATTCTGATGGTCACAAGAAATTAAGCGAAATATTCCGACGCGAAAGCTCAAGAAAGCCCGCGGAAATGCAACAAAAATTTAGAATATAACTCTTAGTTTACGTTCACTCCCACGTTTTCCTGTAAATGATCTGCATATCAAAATATTACCCGAATATCATCCTAAATCGCTAGAAAATTTACCCGAATCGAAATTACTCACGAAAAAATATTGGGGGGGGGGGAAGTCCCAAAATGTGCAAAATATTGGAAGAAAAAATGTAATTTAGAAGAGAGGTTTGATATTCAGGCTAGTAACTGAAATTTGCTTTGTGAATCTTATGTCCTGTCCTTTATCTTCAAATGATTCACTGTCTTTTTAAAAATTCTAGACATTGCATGTAAATACCTTATATTTTAAAAAATTCCAAGTGGATATCATATCCCAGACCCAAAAGATTTGAGTTGTTAGAAGGCTACGCTAAACAAGTTAATTAGAGATCCAGTTGTGGTATTTACATAAACATATACCATGCGAGTATATCACTGAAGATTCAGTCTATCTACAATATAATTATGTACATTAAAAGACTCATTAATAATTCATGAGGGAAAGACAAAGGAAATTGCTATTTTGTCGGTAGTTTTATATGTGATAAAAAATCATGTTCATTCACATAATCTTTTTTTTATTTTCTCGGCTTAGACAACGTTTATTCTTAAAATTACTTCGCCATTGAACTTATCGGATGGGTCGTTTTTACGCCATTTAAAACGTTCGCAGTCCGTCCTTTATCAGATATAAAACACTCGAGCTGCGCTCTCGTGTGTTACATCTGATAAAGCACTCCTGCTCGTGTTTTAAATAGTACGTAACGATACATAGCCAAATATTTGTTTCAGAAAACGCACAAAATGTAGTCCTAGGGTGGAAATATATACAAATATTTTCTGCAGGGGGAGAATACCCCCATATCTCCGTACTATAACACGACACCCCACCACCAAACTTTTTGTCACCAACAACCATGTGT